CTCAGACAGCTACTGTTCGCAGATGAGATCATCATGCTCTCCCCTTTCTTCATCGCCCCTCGCCATTAAGCTGTTTCTAGCTCCCCCTTACTTCATCACCTCTCGCCACAAGTTGTTTCTAGCTCCCCTCCTTCCTTCATCGTCTCTCTCTGAGCCAACAGCCGGTTTTACTGAGGTAACCTTCTCCCTGTAGATCTTGAATCTCAACTGCGAACAACTGCGAACTGTTTACATTGTGTGTATGAATTTATGTTTATTTCACATAAGTGCGTGTAAATTAATGTTTAAATAGTTATATAGTAAAGATCGAAGGTACGTATATTAATTATTTTGTCTGTTATTTCCCCTAACATATTCAAATGAACAAACCGAAGAAATAATTTAACCCACATAACCTAAAAAACATTTCTTTTATCTAAATACATACAGTTTTTATAATTTTTAAGTCGATCTGGTATTATTATTGTAATGACTGAAATCACAATTTCTTTACAAATATTGTATTGTGTATTATTATTCTTTTCAGCAAGGATGTCAAGTTTTAGCGCACGGACAAAGTGCACCGTACCAGGATGTGGCAATGTTTATTGCAAAGCAATTGTAAAGAATCCACATATTCGATTTCATAAATTGCCCAAGAACATCCAGTTAAAAGAACAGTGGGCACATGTATGTGGCAAAAGTCTTGAAAATTTTACCGGTTTTATCTGCTCAAATCATTTTAAAAAAAATGATTACGAGAGAGCTCTTGCAGAAGAACTAGGCATATCATCAAAATCTCGATTAAAGTGTACAGGTAATGCTGAAAAATTAATTTGTTTTGTATTAAGGTATTGCACTAATTTTTTGAATGTTTATATATTAACGCTCTCACGTTCAAAACTTCCCCATCACAGTCCTTTGGCACAGTTTTCCGTTCCTTTGTTGTTGTCATTTAACAGTTAACGTAACCAAAAGTGGTAACAAATCTTAGGTTATTAGATAACATGTTTGATTAGTGATTACAGAGTATAAATTTATTGAATTATAAAAGATTAAAATAAAAACTGTTTTTAAATAGCTTTGAAGAAATAACTTCCCATGTACAACGGCCTTTACGATTACTACTGGTTATTTTTTACATAACGAAATACATACGTAGTTATTATCGAAGTAAATATTTTTATTTATATATATATATATATATATAATCGAAATTTCTATATAAATATAAAAATAAAATTAATTTTTATCAACTTAATATTTAGCAATATTTAAATATATTTAATAATAAAGGTATTTCTGAATTAATCAATTAAAGTATGTAATTGTCTACAATGTAGTTTGAATCATCTTTTCAACATTGTACAATACTATTATTATGTCACAAAAAACACTTATGACATTTTTATGTTTATATATATATTTTTTATATATTTTATTATTTTATATATTTTAATTTTAGCTTTTATATTTTATACTAATCATTATATTATATCAATTTTGAATATAATTTGGTATATTAATTATAATTCTGTGTTTAATAGTTCTATACATCGATCATAGTTTCCTGATTTTTAAAAGTATTACATTAAATTTTAGTTTAATGTAGTACAAATTCTGATATTTAAATTTTAATTTCTCAATCACTTATTACGAGTCGCACTCTATTAATCTCTCTTTCTGATTCTTTTATTGCAGCAATACCATCATTGCATTTACCAATATCTGATGATTTAAATGCAAACAAGGAGAAAACCGAATTAAATGACATAATCTTCACGCAATCTTTATTAGATAAGAAGAATATTGAATCAGGTCACACAATTTTCAAACAATCCTCATCAACACATAATGAAAATCTATTGCTATATACATGTTATAAAAATGCAATAGTTCAAACAGAAGAATGTCCCTGTCATATTATGAATATAAGACTCAACTGCGTAACCAAAAAGTTCGAGGAGAATGAAAAATTTCGTAAGAATTTAGAAATAGAATTAAATGAATTCAAAGCTAAGTACGAAGCAGCGATTACCGAATTGAATGCGACAAACTCAAAAATGACAAAATTTAAAAATAATAATCGAGTAAGATGTTATAAAAATGCAAAAACTCAAACAGAAGAACATTCCTGTCATATTATTAATATGAGACTCAACTGCCTAATAAAAAAGTTTGAGGAGAATGAAGGATCTCGTAAGAATTTAGAAATAGAATTCAATGTACTCAAAGCTAAGTACGAAGCAGCAATTACCGAATTGAATGCAACAAACTCAGAAATAATAGAACTTAAAAAAATAATAATCGACTGAATAATTGTTTAAATGAATTATTAACGAAATGCCAAATTGATATAGCACTAAACAAAAAAACACGTAATTTGGTCAAAAGATGATATGTCACGGGCATTTGCTTTATGGTACTATAGTCAACAAGGTTATACATATTTAAAAGAAAAATTACATTACCCTTTGCCTGGAATTTCTTCACTGCAGAGATGGGCCTCCACTATTAATATGCGGCAAGGTATTTTGAAAGATGTCTTACATTTAATGAAAATAAAAGGAGAGTCTTTGTCTGAAATGAAGAAAGTTACGGTATTAAATTTTGGTGTAATGAAAGTCAACACTTTATACGAATATGATCGGAAATACGACGAAATTATTGGACCACATCAATACATGCATATAGTAATGGTTCGGAGCTTGTTCGGAAAATGGAAGCAACCAGTATACGTCCAATTCGATACAAAAATGACTAAAACAATTATATATCAAATAATAAAAGAATTGAATAATATTTCGTATTCAGTTGTAGCAATTGTATCAGACTGTGGTGGTGGCAGCGTCGGCCTATGGAAAACTTTAGGAATATCTACTGGAAAAACATATTTTCCGCATCCGCTAACCAAAGAAAACGTTTATGTCTTCGCAGATGCACCATACATTCTAAAATTAATTAGAAATTGGCTATTGGATACTGGTTTTATATTGGCAGATAAAACTAAAATAACAGCAGAACCATTACAATGTTTAATCGCCGAAACTAATTCTGAAATCAATTCTTGCCATAAATTAACAAATGGTCACGTTTATTGTGAAAAAATAAACCGACAAAATGTTGCATTAGCAGCTGAATTATTGTCGCATACGACTGCAACTGCTCTGAAACAATATCGTCCAGGTTCGGATAATAAAGTGGCAATCGATACTGCAAACTTCATTGAACAGATCAGCCAGTGGTGGGACCTTATGAATTCGTATGATACTGGAGGAATGGTAGATTGTAACAAATTATATGGTCTCAATATCAACGCCCAAAATGAAGTTCTCGATACGGTCTACAACGTAATAAATACAATGCGTTGTCAATCGAGAAAAGTTCTTCAAATATTTCAAAAAGGACTCCTTACATCAATTGCTTCATTAAAACAGTTATATGATGAAATGAAACGTAAATATAACATAACGTATATTGCTACTTATAAATTAAATCAGGATGATCTTGAAAATTTTTTTTCCCAAGTACGCGGAAAAGGTGGTTCTAATGAACACCCTACACCATTAAATGCTCAATATAGAATACGTATGATTATCCTTGGTAAGAATCCAGATGTAGTCCAAAAACCGTAACGTGCATGAAGCAGTGCATGACGAATATATGTCTTCGTCCGTTATTAAAGCTTCAGGTATTCCAATACCTGAATGTGATGAAAAACTGATGAACCTTCAGATTGTGAAGAAAAACTATTTGAAGTCCAGAGTTCGTCAAGTTCAACTATTTCCTCCATTATACATTACGATCATAACGTTATGACAGTAAATATAACATGTGATAGTGAAGCAGATAGTCTATTTTATTTAGCAGGTTGGTTGGCCAGAAAATATAAAACAAAATATCCAACTTTGGGGGACTATACATATGAGTCAAATATCGAACATAATTATGTATTCCCGAATTGGTTGCAACACATTTCTTATGGTGAACTGACACAGCCATCTACAGAATGGCTGAACCAAGTTAAAAAGATGGATAAATATTTTTGTAAATTCCATAAAGATGGTTTACAGAAAGGACCTGCCGTTGTTGAAAACTTAACTATGGCAGTAGTAAAGGAGAAAAATATCAACGTACCTGAGGAACTAGTACGTGCATTTTTTCTCCAAAGAACTTATGTACGCATTAAATTTCATAATATTGCCCAAGAAAATCGTAAGCACGTAGGTGATAAGAGGAAGATTAAAGATAATCAAATAAGTGTCCCTAATAAATATAAAAAAATAATTAATTAAACGCAATTCACAGATTGATACAACATATATGTATTTTTATTATTATAGATACTTATAAAATTTTAGAATCACAATATTGCCGCATATTTAATAATTCCTAATATATACCCACACAACATTATGTCGTCTTATGTTCGTCTGAAAGACACCTTAAAATCACTCAAACGTCTTACGAAACTGTCAGAGAGACGTATTTAAAACGTCTGTAAAACGTATTATGCAACAATTTTCGACGATTTAGAAACATCTTCGAGATGTCTCTTGATTTGTCTTATGAGACGACTGTGAGACTTATTTTAAGATGCCCTTAAGACAAACGTTTTATTAAAATGATTTTATACTCAAGTAGCAAATGATCGTCATCTGATGTTTTTTTATCGTCATAATTGATTATTATATAATATTATATAATAACCAATTATATGATAATAAAAAAACATCAAATCACGATTATTTGCTACTTGAGTAATTATTTTACAATAGAATATTTTTAAATTTGTTACATTTTAATATTTTATTATTAATATTTCTTTACATAATACTTATAAACATAACTTTTACATAATATTTCTTATACAGGGTGTCTGGC